TCAGCGCTTCGGATCAACACCTCCTTTCGGCAACGCTTCTCTAGTATCCCGTCTCATCTGGATACATTTGCATGGTCAATGCATGCTCTAAAAGTCTTTCTTAAGCCAATACGATCCGTTTGAGCAGCCCTTCACACTACACGTTAACGCCATTGTTCGCGCATTTTACTCGCGCTTTCTGGGACGAAAACTCCTCCCGACCTTTGACCTTAGGCTAAGCGCATGCGCAGTGTTAAACTGTCAACGGGTGTATTCTAGGTATTCTAGGCATTCTAGGTACCCCTAGGTATTCTAACCCTAGCAATACCGTTTCTTGGAGCTACACCTAGCTCTGCCATATTTTACAGCAACAGGGTATAACCTGTTCATCGATGGAATAATGTGTCTTTTGTCTAATTCCATCGTTAAATATAGTCAAAAGCAATCAGTAATAAATAGGGCGGTTCTTCCATCTAAACGGAGCAAGTACCACGTACAGGATAGCAATGAGCGTCACACAAAGGCATGCATATAGATATCGGGCATTTCAGAAAAACATCCAGCCAGCTATCTAGCCAGCTAAACGAAATGTTTGTAAAAAATACATGGACAACATCAGTGGCCTAAAGAATAGTCGCACAGACATTTAAAGCAGATAGACGCGTGATCATTAATCAGTAATCAGTAAGCAGCATTTGATTGACAATAAAAGAGATATGATATGCCGACCTAATCAGAATCCTCTTTAATCTCCCTTTTCAATATTTCATTTAAGGGAATCTTTCACATTTTGGAAGATAGCTCAATAGGATACGATAGCTAGCGATAGATAGATCAATATAATGCATTAATGATGAATGACATAGTACTGCTGTGCTACAGTTGTTGGAAATATTTGACAATAAATATTAAATATAGTCGATCAGATTACAATGTTAATCCATCAGTATCGAGCTCGACATCTTGACAAATAATATAATTTAGCTTAGTCTAATTGACTTTCTATTGTGTCTCAATAGGAGGAGGAAGGACGGCAGGATGTGTGCTCGCTAACCGTCTGTCTGCGGACCCTGATGTGAAAGTACTGCTAGTGGAGGCCGGTGGGGTGCCTGAGGGTAACAAGGACATAGATAGACCAGCTTCATATGCGTTTCTGAAAAACACAAAGGTTGACTGGCGCTACATGACAGTGCCGCAGAAATTCTCATGCCAGGCCTGCGAGAAGAAGGTAGCTTCAACGTGTTTTTAGCCCAAGCACAACATATAATCAAGAATACCATGTAATTGTAGGCCTTTATTTTTATTGCTACGACATATAATCTAATAGAAATCCGAAATGAAATGCCACAAGGAAAAATGGGACCGGAAAAAATCACACTACTCTTTTTTGCTATTTTATATGGTTCCATTATCGCAAGCGCTGTGATATTGCATATACACGTTACATAATACATGTATTGAGAACCGAACATTTTACTTATTTAATACGGTCGCAGGCGCTATGATATTACACATACACATTACATAATAGATGTTTTATCACAATCAGCAAAGCCTGTGGTCAAGAGGAAAGGTACTTGGAGGCAGCAGCTGCATAAACGCTATTGTTTATGCTCGTGGATCCCCTGAAGATTATAACAAGTGGGAGAAGATGGGAGCATCGCGATGGAGTTATGAAAACGTACTTCCATACTTTAAAAAGTCAGAGAACGTACAGATACCTGATCTAAAGAACTCTAGTACGTTTATATACTTCACTCTAACTTTTTAAATGAACGTGAATATCTAGTCAATAGACGAGTGAGGGTTTGAGTGTAGTCTGTAGATAATAGATAAACTATGAAATGAACATACATAATATATATAATGATATATAGTAAATATAATAGCAAGCGATACTAGGAAAGCATTAGTTTAACTTTACAGGGGAATTACTAAGATGAAAGCTCCATTTGGGCGATGATAGA